TGTCTTTTCAGAATGGCTCAATGCCCCCTGACTAATTTTATATTTTAATATAAATTCTAAATGATATATAATCTATAATTTGGCTAAATAAATGAATAATGCCATTTTGTAGGGATTACTTCAGCCATGATTATTAAGAACAATATCATTTAAATATTACTATTCACTCATATTATTTGAAAACTCTCTGAGAATTATTTTAAATACACTGAAAATTATTTTCTGTTTACATTGATCAGAACATTGCTGACATTCTAAACTCTTCATGCTTTACAATTTACAATCTAAATCGGTGTCTTTAGACATTCAATATGCGCTTAAAATGTTGAAAAAATGGTTGAAAGAAAAATTCTCTTCAGTCTGTTTGACTGAATGGCATTCGTATGCAATTTTTGTTCAGTGAACTTGATCATTATTATATTATAATAGCTTAGTTGTTGCTCTGTTTGAAGGTATTTTGGCTCATTAAAATAATAATGTGATAAGAAAGATTCAGTTCGTTTTATTGATGTAGCATTATTAAAAAACAGACCAATGTGGATTGAGGAATGTAAAAGTGGTCCCTTCCTTCCCCCTGCTGGACATTTGCTGTAATTTAAAAGTAATTTACCCCAATACATAATTTGCTTCATAAACCCAGCAATCCATTGGTGTTTACTTAGTAATAAATCCATTTCTGAGGGATTGTATAGGTTTATAAGTTTGTCAGTTTACTTGAATTCACTATAAGGTTTTTATTCGTTTAATTTGTTCACTAACAATGCCCAACAGTGTTATAGACATCACAAGAGAATTCAGTCCTTTGTTTTTTCTTCTTCTAAAAATCAATAACTTTTTCAACTGATCTGAAATTATGTACTGAGTTTAAAAGTATTCTACATCATTACAAGCAAGTTTCTTATTATTATGTATTAAGTCATTATCAGGAGAAGGTTTCACATTATGATGAGATGTTAAGTAAATATTACAAAAAAGTTTACATTATTATGACTAGCAGAAGCATTTTTACTGAACTGTGGCAGAAACGGGCTTATGAAATCATGTTGGGTTAAAAAAGGAGATTTGTGAAATGTGTAAAATACACCCCATTCATACAATAACAGAATAAAACAGAGGTCTGTCTATCTATCTATCTGTCTGTCTATCTATCTATCTGTCTGTCTATCTATCTATCTGTCTATCTATCTATCTGTCTATCTATCTATCTATCTATCTATCTGTCTATCTGTCTATCTATCTATCTATCTATCTATCTGTCTGTCTATCTATCTGTCTGTCTGTCTGTCTATCTATCTATCTATCTATCTATCTATCTGTCTGTCTATCTGTCTGTCTATCTATCTATCTATCTGTCTGTCTATCTATCTATCTATCTGTCTAAAAGCACTGGTATTTTGAATGAAAAAGGCCTAGAATTACAATCATATAATTGTAATTTTATTTGTGAAATGTGTAAAATACACACCATTCATACAAAGACAGAATTATACAGATGTTTTCGTACATTACATTATGAAATGTATTAAAATATAAATAAATATATTTTTTATATCATAATAAACTTTTGGACCAAATAAAAATCACATTTTCCTTGAGGAGGGTGTTCACGCCTATACAAGATTTTTTTCTTAAGTTGTTAGAAATCGTTTCCAATGTAAAGGCAGCAGGGCAGTATGAACGTTAACCGGGTAAAAGAGGCGAGAGAACGGCGCGCTAAAAACGGAAGTGACGTATTTTGTTGTCACCCCTCCTCCCCTCCTCCGTGCTTTAGTCATTGGTGGCATGGACGGGAAAACCAATTGCCTGGCTACCGTTACCTTGGCGAGCGTCTCTGGATTATAACAGTTTTCCACATTTGAAATGTTTTGGGCCGGGCTTTGAATCAATATCGCAAATATTACTCCCACCTTGAGCATTAATCGTCTGCAAGCAAACGGCTGCTTCTCGCGCTCTTGTGAGGATTCCTACGTCAGCTAGCAACTTTTGCTCCTCTAAACAAAATGGCGGACAATGAAGACGATAATAATTCAGCGTCCAAATCTGCTGCAGCGAAAATGGAAAACGTCGACGCGAGCGGATCTCTGCCGCAGCCCGAGACGATACAAACCGCAGCCGAAGCGGGAAATAATCAAGAAGACGCAAGTAAGGCCGCAGAAGGGGGCGTTGATCAAGGCCTCGCCGAGTTCATGCACAGCGAGTCGGCGGTGGATGTTACAGTTTTGGACGGCACCCAGGAGGTGATCGGGCAGATCGTGAGCGGTGAGATGATAACCGATCAGAATATCATAACGTCTTACGTCCATGCCACTGCAGAGGCAGGTTTGACTGCTGAATGCACCACTGTAAGCGGTGAAGTCTTAAACGCTCTTGCGCCGACGACCACCATCATTTACGTGCAGCCCGACGGCAGCTTCGTGGAGAGCTCGGGGTTATCGGCCGAGGAGCAGCAGCAGTTAATCGAGCAATTAACGAAACAACAATTAATCCATGTGGCAGGTACCGAGACAGCAGTGAAACCATCCACTTCCCCTATCGTGGACGTGCAGCAGGTTATAGTTAGTAAAGCACAGTTAATTGCCCAGGCCGAGCCGGCTACGACCCATACAACGAGCCCAA